CCAGATGGGAGAAAAATAAGGAATCGACTTTTACCTAATTTTAGGAGGAGAAAGAGAATAAAAAGTCCACAGCCGTCTGTGTTTTATTAGGACGTTTTTCTACAGACTTTCTATGCTTTCTTTTTACAATTTCCTGAACCATAGAGTTTTTTTACTTGTAAGCTTTTGGGAGAAGAAATCTGCTACACTTTGAGAAGAATTCTGAACCCTATTATCTCTTCTGCGATTTTAATTCATGAATTCCTTTCCATCTGTTTCTGTGTTTCTTTTCTCCATGTCTGAGTAGATCTCTTAGCTAGATTAAAGCGTTCAAAAGATTTCATGAGTTAAAAAATTAGATGCAAATAGGGCTTGATATCTATTGTCTTCACCATTGTTAGACTTAATGCTTAGGTTGAACTGATCACTCAATCTACGATTTTAGGTTAATATATTCATCAAAAGTGTAATAGGTTGCTAGAATAAACATTGGTGAGCGATTTGTCCTTAGCCAACGACAGTTGAAGTTAAGGCAAATCGTGAACAGATCAAACCTGCTAGCTAATGCTTGTCTGCAATTTTCTAGGTTCAAACGACAGTTTAGGATTTAGGTTGTTAGACAAAGTTATCGAGATCACGACAGTGGATCGATAAGCTTCTCTGTTTGAGTTCGAGACTTGCGTTACACTTGTGCCCTGAATAGTCATCTGGTTCTTATCTCTGAAGTTCCTGCGAATTGCTTTGGTCTAGTGCTTCTTTTAATTTGAATTTAAATCGTTGCTTGCCATTCTGTTTACTTTTTAGTTTTCGCAACAAACCATCATTCGTCTTAGCTTTAATTCAATCCTCGCAAAGTCATAGAGTAACACTGGTCCTCTGGATTCCGAATCCTTTATATTACAACTATATCACTGTTCTATTGCAGTAGAAACTAGGAGTACATCCCGTATGAATCATTTCCCAATACGCTTGTAAATCTACTAAAGTTTAAAGCTTTCATACCCAAAAAAAAAAAAAAATCTACTAATGCTAAGCAGTTATTTTACACTTTTAACAATACAAGTTATAAATTTGTAAAATTTCTTAATTTAAACGCTAATATGGACCAGTAAAATTGGTGTTTAAAATTTTATGTGGATATTTTTTTGTAATTAATAAAAAATATTTTTTTATCTTCCATATTTTTTTGTATTAACAATACAATTTGTAAATTTGTTATATAAATAATTTCTAAATTTAACCTCAAATAATACGTAATTATGGAAATACAACATATATAATTTTTTATTCAATTTTAAACCATTAACTAAAATATTGAAATCAAATTATTTGAAATCCAACAATTTGAATATCTAAATATAAACTTCTTGAAATTGAAATATTGTTCTCTTGTTGGTAACCAGGTTTATGAAAGTAACTTCTCCAAACTCTGTTAATATTTCCTATAAAAATTTCAGGCAAAACTTAGAGATCCTAATTCAAATGGCTTTTGGGATGGAACCATATATGATTTGGTATCGGGTGTGAGGAGATGCATGGGCCTAGACCCAAAATCTCTTAGTTATTCAAAAAAAAATATTTCCCATCAAGTTTTAATTCTGATGATCAAAACCTTGGTATGTTTCGGAAAGTTTAAATCTATACTGACTCTTTGAGTTTGGCTAAATCGATTGAGAAGTAGGAAATACTAATAACGAGGTTATGGATTTGAATTATTGAAATAGTTTGAATATATATGAAAAACTGCATCTGCCAAGAGGACGCTCGAAAAAACGCAGTGGTCAGAGCACAATCCCATGAAACAACACAATATAGGAACGTTAAGGTTGATGCCGAGAACTTGGCCTAAAAGCACCTGAAATATTCCAATCCACTAATAGAAATGAATACTCTTTGAAATGACTGGAAATTCTTTCACCCAACTTTCTACAAGCAAACGTTACAACAAAAACATACATGCTTGGAAAAGCGTTTACGAAGAAGTGTAAATAACTCTTACTTAAACAATAAATTTAAACAACAACCATTTAACGTTGCATGCATACATGCATTTATTCAAAGTATAAGATTTTGGAAAGGAAATTTTGCGTGCGCATTTTATACATAGCAGATATCGTTCAAGCGCACTCGAAACCAGATGGAAGGTTCTTGTCACAAACGTTGAGAAGAACACTGAGAGATATAGGAACATTAAGGTTGATGCCGAGAACGTTAGCCCTAAGAGCAGTGCACAGACAAACCGCAGCCTCAAGATCAACCAAACCTTGTATGACCGAGCAGCATGGTTGAGGCGACGGTTGACCCAATTGAACGTTGAGTGAACGGCTTAAGACATTCGTACATACACCGAGCCTGAGGGCATCTATAGGACAGTTTCCAGATGAGCCAGGTGTGCTTGGAGTTGGGACCGAAGGACTTGGGACTGGCCTAGGGTTAGGACTTGGGACCGAATGACTTGGGACCGGCCTGGGCTTAGGACTTGGGCTGCAGCCACAATCAGTTGCACCGGTTAAGGTGAAAAAGAGGATGTTGAGGGCAAAGAAGAGGGCAAGAGAGGCTGTATTCTGTGAAAACATTGTCTTTCGAAGGCTAAGATCGGTGTCTTAAGGGTTATTAAAGGGCTTTTGAGGGAGAGAGGTGAAGATAAATGAGGACAGGGTGTTTGTATTTATAGGGTTTAGAGGGACTTGAGAGAGCGCCACAATTGTTCTAGTCAAATTAATTGTATATGCTTAGTAATAGAATCATATATTTTATATGCGTTAGTCAATCTTATATAATAAGTTAAAAACTACCTATACAAAATCCGATTACAGTGTACGACTTTTTTGGGTCGAAGAAATAAGTATTTCGAAATTATATGGGACGTCGTTTGAATAGAGTATAACGAAAAGAAAATGATTTATGTTTGCATTCATATTCGAAAACAGTGATTATGGCCTTATTGCACATTTATTCAAACTTCGAAAGTTTTGGATAGATTCTCAAAGTAAGAAAAATATTATTTATCGTTTTTTTCTGTGGTTCTAAATAAAACTAACTCCTGATGAGAAGAAAATTAAACTAGGTATGGATGTCAACTAAGCAAAGGCTGCAAAGCTTATATGATCCAGGTTTAGTCTAAGATATAGGCTTGAGCTTGTTACAAAAAAAACAAAAACAAAAAAAGAAAGATATAGGCTTGAGTTTGGTCCTGAACAGTTTAGGACTGCATGTACGAAAACATAAATAAATACAAAAAGTGAAACAAACAATAAATAATCTAAAAATTATGAACAAAAATGTATACTCTTTCTAAATATATATATATATATATATATATAACTAAAATGCAGTCAAAGAATTAAGTTTAGTTTCCGGCCCTGCAAAAAAACATACATAACTAAAATATTGTACTAGTATCAACTCCAAAAGGATCATTTAAGAGAAATGTAACAGCAACGTACTTAGATTTGAATCAATTCAAATTGTTACTGTTTCAGTCTTGCATAGGAGTTCTTATTTAGCTTATTGAGAAAAGTTTTTCGGCTTGATCCCCGAATCTATCAGGTGAAGTTAGCGTAAAAGCTCTTTTACTTGCATCCTTAGGATAGTTAGTAATAGTATGTTGTTGTATCTGTTGAATTTAGGGTGAATTGGCTAACTAGCAAAATGGAAAAGGGAAATTAAAGATCTAAAATATATGAAAAAGAAAAAAAAATCTTAGAAAATATTTTTCATTCATCAAAGCAACTATTTGTAACGTAATAGACATATGTATGTGTAAAAATAATCTGTCTTCGATATTTAAACTTGAGATTTTCCCACCTTTTTTTAGGGTGACCAGGTGCTACCCCAATTTTTTTTTTTTGAAAATGTTAAATTATACCCAAAAAAAAAATAACGTTTTTACAAAGACTTTTGCTTGAACTGTTTCTTTAGCTAATAAGAACCATTGAAACTAGTTACTCTAATTTCCTATGACTCTCATCGTGTGGAAAACCACTCGCGGAGACCGTCCTCTTATCTCAGATCTCCATTTCGCCGAATCGAATTGAGTTGGTTTCTTACACAGTTGTCGATCCTCTTCACTAGTCGCATCTCATCCGTAGGTGATTCGCCATGCCTTCGATTGTTTCGCTCCCGCCAAATCGTATGGATACAAGCTTGAAAAACATATCGAAACAGAAAGGTGGTTGTCTTGTGTTGCGTCCTCTGTATAAGCAGCTCAGCAATTGCTGTCCACTCTGCAGCAAACCTGTCTTTGAGAAGCCCTTCGCCAGCACTTCCCAGATTTTCTTCGTATACACGCATGCAAAAAATAGATGGTCCCTAGTCTCCAGTGGGTCTTTGCAGAACACACATGCCGAGTTCACATTCACATTCCAGCTCCTCATTCTATCCCCCGTTGCTAATCGATTTCGAAATGCCAACCATGTCAAAAACGAGTACTTAGGAGTTGCTTGAGAAAACCAGACCCCCTTGTACCAGTTTACCTTCTGCTTTGGGACTCTGATCTGGTGCCATGTATCTTTTGAGTTAAAGTTTGCTTTGAATTTTCCAGTGCGTGTACGCCATCGGACAATATCCTCTGCATTCAGTTCGCGAGTGCTATTGATGTGCTGCAATTCCTTTTCGATGTCAGCATATAATACACGCCGATGTCGTCTTCTACGTAGAGAACATTTTCCACCATAGCCTGTTGGGAGATACCCATGTCAATAAAACCTCTTTCGCCAGCTTTGTCAATAAGACGCCCTAGACCACACCACGGATCATACCAGAATGAAGTTGTTTTACCACTTCTCACTTCGACCTCATAGAGCTGTTTTGCTAGAGCTCTATACTTTAGGATCTTCTTCCACATCCAAGATCCTAGAGTAGATGTGCTCTTAACTGACCAAAAAGACCCACGCCGAACAATATACTGCTTAACCCAGTTCACCCATAATGAGTTTTTTGCTGACAAAATCCTCCATATGAGCTTGAGAACACTGACTTTATTGGCTTCCTCAAGGGATTTAATTCCCAACCCTCCTTCTTCAACTGGAACACAAATGTCCCTCCAAGCCACCTTTGCTTTCCTTGTGTTCAGAGATGGGCCAGACCACAAGAAAGCGGAACAGAGTTTGTCGATTTCATTCACACACGCTTTGGGGAGTCTAAATGCAGAAATCCAAAAATTAGTAATGCTGAAGATCACTGATTTGAGTAGCTGTAGTCTGCCTGCAAAGGACAATGCTTTGGCGGTCCAAGAATTAATTCTGTTACGAATATTTTCGACTAGTGGGAGATAGTCGGAAGAGCTCATCCTTCTTGTCAGAAGAGGCAATCCCAGATATCTTACTGGGAGCTCTCCATGGGCGAAAGAGAACTGGTTAAGAATAGCAATCAACTCATCTTCTGGTATACCAGCCGTGTACAGAGTGGACTTCTCAAGGCTAATTTTGAGACCTGAACGCCAAGCAAACTCATCAAAAACTTGAAGGATGTTTTCTATCGAGCTCTTCTTTCCGTCAACAAACACTAGAAGATCATCCGCAAAGTACAGGTGTGAAAGACCCAGCTCCCTACAGTTCGGATGGTATCCAATAAACCGATCCTCTGCAGCCTTATCTATTCTTCTAGAAAGCACATCCATGCAGATAACAAAGAGATAAGGGGAGAGTGAGCACCCTTGCCTCAAACCTCTTTCACTTCCAAAATAGCCAGCTAGTTCCCCATTTACTTGAACCAAAAATGAGGCTGTGGTGATGCATAATTGAATCCAATGAATGAATTCAGCAGGGATATCCAGTGCCTTTAACGTATTTAGCAAGAAAGACCACTGAACCGAGTCAAACGCCTTTGAGATATCGATCTTCATCGCACATCTTGGAGAAACAGAGGGTTTATGGTAATCTTTCACTACTTCCGTTGCAAGTAACACATTCTCCATTAACAATCGATTCCGAACAAATGCTGATTGGTTTGGCTGAATAAATTTTGGGAGGATCTCTTTGAGTCTATTCGCCAAAATCTTGGAGATTGCTTTATAGAGCACATTGCAACAAGCAATGGGCCTGTAGTCCTTCATCTCTGCCGCATCCTTCTTTTTTGGAATAAGAGCCAAGATGGTTGAGTTGACACCCTTTGGCAAGAACCCAAGTTGAAAGAAGGACTGAATCGCTGCAATCACATCATCACCAATAATTGGCCAAGTTTCCCTGAAAAACTCACTCGTAAATCCATCCGGCCCCGGAGATTTATTTGCCGGCATTGATAGGACGACCTTTTGAATCTCCTCCCTTGTCACCTCCTTTGTCAGAACCTTCTTGGTTTCCTCATCACACCTGAAATCGAGAAAACTCTGCAATTCCTCAATCGACCAAGGCTCAAAATCCACCGGTTTGGCAGCCAAAAATTCACTGAAATGCCTGACCGCTTCTGCTTTGATAGATTCCTGCGTAGAAGCAATCATACCATCTCCACATTTGATCTCCCTGATGCTATTTTTCATTTCCCTGATCTTTGCGGCGTTGTGGAAGGTTTTATTGTTTTTATCTCCTACTTTAAGCCAGTGAAGCTTGGCCCTCTGACTCAAGAAACGCTCCTCAATATCCGCTAGTTTCATCCAGTGTGCAAAGGCATTTGCTTCGTCCTCCACAGCTCCAGCAGACGGATGAAGCATTGTGATGCCCTGTAATTCGCAAAGCCGAGCAAAAGCATCTTTAGTTCTTTTTGTGATATCGGATACGAGGTTTTTCCCCATTCGACGCAGCCGAGGTTTCATCTGTTTGAGTTTCTTAGTAAGTCTGAACATCGCAGAAGTGGAGACAAATAATGGTGGAGCCACCTTCCATCCCTCTTCAATCTCTTTCAAGAAACTCGGGGTGCAGAGTAGTTGCAGCGACGAATTTGAATGGTTTTCGTGGCTTTCCCTCCTTTTCCTTAATGTAGAATCTACAGCGCAGGTGATCTGAGCACCCCCCTGGCTCAAAGACACTGTAGGATCTATCATAGGTGTTCATCCACTCTTTATTTACCAATACACGATCTAATTTCTTGCAAATCACCCCATATTTCCTCTTGTTGCACCATGTGAATTTCTGTCCTTGGTAAGTCAGATCAGTAAATTCACAATGTGTAACGAGTTCTTGAAAGTCTCTCATTCCAGGGGGAATAACAGGTGAGAGAGAATACAGCGAATGCTCCGATCCCTCCAGAATTTCATTGAAATCACCACACAGAAGCCAGGTTTTCCCTCGGAATAGAGGTGTGTCACAATGATGTCTAATGTCTTCCCAAAGCTTTCTTCGATCAGCCGCAAAGTTAGACGCATATACGAAAGATACAAAGAACTCCTCGGATCTACCTTCCAGCAGAATCGAGACTGTTATCAGCTGAGCTGATTTGAACCACGGTGTAATTCTCACGTTCCGTCTCCACATAATCCAAAGTCTCCCTAATCTGTGCTCTTCATAGTTTGACATAAAAGACCACCCCTGAAACATTTTTTCAAAAATTCTTTCTGCCCTTCCTTCTTTGATTTTTGTTTCTATCAGGCATCCAAAGTCAAAGTCACCTCTCTGCACCCACTCACGAACCACCCTATGTTTACTTTTTTTATTCAGACCACGAATGTTCCAGAAGAACCCCGACATTAATGGTGTTTGGAAGAGTTATGTGTATCACGAGTACCAGGATTTGACTCCTTAGTATTCGTACCAGTTGATTGGGATAAGAATCTATGGGTATTCTTAGATCCGCGTGGAAGAGACGGACGTAAGACTCTCCCTGTAGGTTTGTTCAAATCACCCTTGTTCCCCTGCTTTACCTCTGCTTTACTGACCACAGCATCCTCATTTCCCATACATGTTTCCTCTTCCCCTGTGTGTTCCGCAATAAGAGATTCCTCCACCTTAGTCTCATCACCTGTCAGTTCATCGAGTTCTCCCACATCATCAATCTGTCCACTTAAAATTGCAAATCTCGAATTGGAAAGAATGGACACTTTGCCAAACTTCAACTCTGGAGTTTTTGCAGGGCTTCTCATGGTTTTTATTGGAGTGGACCAACCTTGCTCATCGGATTGTTGGGTTTTTTGTTGAGTCATTTGTATGATTTCGTCAACGTTTTCCTTCGCCTTTACCCTATTTGTAGAGACAGGGCTGGAAGGAGCTACACTTTTTTGAGCCACCACAGGTGAATCCGACTTTTCTCTGTTTACCTCCGTGGTGAGCTTAACATTGAGATTGCAATCCTTTTCCAAATGACCCTACTTAGAGCATCCTCCACATCTAGGTGGGAGCCACGGAAAGATGAATTCCACCTCAGAATCTGGTCCCGAGTCTGATTTAAAGCAAAATCTCTTTGGTAGCTTCTTCGTTAAATCCACCTCTACAAAAATCTTAGCTTCATCCAGATTACGACAAGCCTCTGTATCCGGATGCAACTTCTTTGGTTTCCCAAGTGGGCTTGTTAAAGCACTTAACCCCTTCCAGGAGTACAGATGCGGGGGTACATGCTTAACAATGACCCACAAAGGAATCGAAGTCAATTCTGTTTGTTCCTTCTCTGCTATGGGGCTCTACTTGTTGACTATCATCGGAACGTCACACAAATTCCACATCCCCCTCCTCAGAATTCTTGCTCTTACATTCGCATCTTTAATACGAAATCGCATTGTGGTATCATCAACCACAATTACGTCAATTTTAAGAGTTTTGTCTCCTAAAGTCCAAATACGGTTTACAAGAGCGTGTATCTTCCCTACGAATGGCGCCTTCGAAAGGAATTTCCCGATAACAAAATCCTCCCACAAAGGTGGAGAGTCTTTAAAGACACTGTTCGGGATCACTGCTGTTGGCATCCCATCTATCTCCTCCACCTTCAGCTCATAGTGGATCATCTCTGTATCCTTTTGGACCACCGATGCCCATGATGCAGATTTCCCCACGGAGCTCAGTTTCTCCATCGTATTACTTTTTTGATGCTGATCATCGTTTCCCTTCGCTACTTCCAATCTGCTTGCACTGGATAGAATTTCCCCCTCCTCGATATTTGCTTCATCACGCGAACCCTGAGAATCCCCACAACGATCATTCTCGACAACCTTCTCAAGAGCCCCCGACTCCTGCAAATTTCCTTCCACACCTTCCACAGCCTGAACCACTGACTCATCCATCACAACCGCACCGAGCACCCTACCAGAATCCCCCATCTCCGACGCCATGGCCCCTGCGGCGGCCACCGGAAACCCTAACGTGAGAGTGAAGACTCAAACCCTAAATCGCCCTAAAAATCGCCACTTTCCTTAATTCTTTACTCTTCTTATGTTGCACTTGGTGCTACCCTAGTTAAATTACCAATACCGAATAATTACATCGGATCTTTTCACCGAAAAAAAAAACAAATTGGATCTCATATACATGACTAATTGCAACTCGCCAGAGAAAACGAACTCATGCATTGCCGCTATAAGATTAGGACTAACCAAGTTCTAAGATAATGTGAAAAACTTGAATGTATACCCAATTTCGTCCCGAGAGCTTTATCTAATTTAATATTAAAAATTTATACCCATTATGAATGTATATTAATATTAAAGAATATTTTATCGAATTGGAATTCACTAACTTAATATTAAAAAATTTATAGAAAAGGAATATTTTTTCCAATTCGAGTTTTCCCTTTGTTTTTCGTTTAAGTTTCATTCGAATTCAGAACATATCCAAAACACATCTTTAACACTGAAATAACACTTTAGCAAAAAAAAAAAAAAACTGCAATAACACAACTTAATCCATATGATTCATAGTATTTTACTACTTATCAACGTAAATACACATATATATATATATGTATATATATATAGTGTGTGTATAATTCTCAAAATAGGGGGTGGGGGCGCTATATATTGTTCTAAAGTATTCCAATACATTTTTTCTTTTTTTTCGTATAGTTAATATACATTGGAGTTCATATTTTTTTTAAGAAAAAACTATATTACCATATCAAATCTTCTTAATAAAAATTTGAATATGAACTGTCAATGGTTTGAGACGGTCGTCATGATCCTGACTAAGAAAATGTAAATAAAGTTAGAATGATTCCGCATATAACAAACAAACGAATCGGTATTATATATTGACAAAATGAAAACATGAAAACGATCATGCAATGTGAACGTACTCATTGTTAGACAATCTAGGTAACGCAAATCATTGATCTTTCTTCAACAAAGCTGGTTTAATCTTTCATAAAGTCAATAAAAACATTTGTCCTCAACGAAATATCAGATTTTTAAACGATGCTACAACCACAAAATAGTTAAAACCGATATTAAAGAAATATTATTTTCGAACTTCTCCAAACTAAACGAAGAGCAAGAAAATTTAACAAAGTGAAGTGGACAATTAATATATATATATATATATATATACGGAATATAATTATTAAAGACGGGATGAAATTTTGATTGGGCAGCTATTTAATACTTTTTTTTTAGTTTTTAGTACCTCAAACGAGTGGGTAAACTTCAATTTCACTTTGATTCTAGATATTTCAAATAGTTCTTTCCACCAAGGTGTTAACAATAGTTTTAAACAGCATATTCAGTTATGTCTGCTTCATATATATATATATATATACTAATAATATCCACATTTACATATTTATTAAAATATGTTTAGATCTAAGAAATATAAATTTACTTACTATAGATTAATTACAAAATTTAAGAATAATATTGCATATACTGAAATGTTGTTCTGCAAATTGTATTTTAAAATTAGATATTATAGATGCCATAATTAATTAAAATTTTAAAATGAGATAAGAAAGAAATTCTTAGGTCATATTTTCTGACATGTTAATCAATTTATTCCTAAGTAATATCAGACATTTTATTAAGCAAAATTTTGAATATATAATTTTTTTCATTCGATTTTCATTTTCAACTATTAAAACCGACAGATTATATATATAGTAGTGTTAACCATCTTTGACTCATTATTTGCGACTATATTTGCAAATAGCCCCAAATTCCCCAGTGTCCCCACATACGTCAACTCACATACAACCCGAACATTTTTACACCGCGAACATGAACTTACCGTTCGTAAGAATGTTCAAACCTAGTAATTAAAACAAGAAGAAGATTGACTCTTAACATTTTCGACCAAAAAAAAAAAAAAAGAAGAAGATTGACTATATTACATATAGCCTATAGTAATTTGTGTTTGTACGCCTTCATTGTGTCACCACATAGATTTAGATTCAGTGTAATGAATGTTGTTGAATTTTTTTCTTTGAGAAAAAAGCATATTCTTCCAAAATGCAATCATACGTGTTATACAAGGCATCGAATATTTAGGCCAAGAAATAAGGCTTCTCAGCCATAACCTCAATTGATTTTGGTACAAACTTTCTGTTAAGGCCTCATGACTCATGACCACACATATTTCAAACACTAGTAAAAATAACTGCATTTATGATCCGAATTTATCAATAACCGAACTGTTCATTCTCAGCATAACATAACTATGATGTTCTACTATACCACAATTTCGGAGAACATTCCAATCATTGAATTTTAATTATATACGATTTTAGGATGATTAATAATTACCCTTTTAGGATCTTTTTTTATTAACGAGTGATCAAGAGTTTTCCAGTAGAAATTAACTCCACAGATAGTATAAACACTCTATAACATGAATTATGTCAATCTGAACATTTCCAATGCCTAAGTATTTGAAAATGAGAAGTACGTTGGTCGCCAAAACTTTTCATTAAACGGGTTGAATAGAAATAGTCTACAAAAACATACAAGCACTAAAGATGGGAAACGTGTACAAAAAAAAAAAACAATAAAACTCTCACACTTATTATATCACTTACAACAAAATGCAAGATTCAATATTTAAATTCTAGCTTGCATGCATTTATTCAAACTGTAAATATGTTGAAGAGGAAACTGTGTGCGGCGTCGTGGGCATAGCTGATTCAAGTGCATTCGAAACCAGATGGAACCTTCTTGTTACACTTGTTGAGAAGAACGCTGAGAGATATAGGAACGTTAAGGTTGATTCCGAGAACGTTAGCCCTAAGAGCAGTGCAAAGACAAACTGCAGCCTCAAGGTCAACCAAACCTTGGACAACCGAGCAGCATCGTTGAGCTGATGGCTGACCCAATTGTATGTTGAGTAGGCCGCTTAGGACATTTCCACATACACCGAGCTTGAGGACATCTATAGGGCAGTTTCCGGACGAGCCAGGGGTGCTGGGAGGTGGGACCGGCCTAGGATTAGGACTTGGGACCGATGGAGTTGGGACATGTGTGGGTGGCTTAGGACTTGGGCTTGGCTTCAGCTTCGGTTTAGGACTACAGCCACAATCAGTTGCAGCAGTTAAGGTGAAAAGGAGGATGTTAAGAACAAAGAAAAGAGCAAGGGAGACTGAGTTCTTTGAAGCCATTCTCTTTTCAAATGATAAATTCAGTTCTATAAGGATTACTGAGTGTGTTTGAGAGAGTGAGATGAATGGAAATGAAGGGAAGGTGTGGTTATTTATAGGGTTTGTTACAAGGATTTGAAGAGGACCAACTTGTTTTAATATAATAATTTAATTATATATATATATATATATATATAGTTGTCAGTTGTCATTCTACAAAAAGATCTGACCTTATATACGCGTTTATCTACTACATATACAAAATCTAGCTCGTTTTTTCTCCTTTTTGTAGATACGTAGAACCTCGAAATGATTTGGAACGTTGAATTTTTTACATTTTATATAATGAAAAGAAAGTGTGTGATTTCTTCATTCACATTAGATAGTATATATTGTTGTCAAAGTGTTTTTTTTTTTTTTGCAACTGTTAATTTTTTTATACCTCCAAAATGGGATATCGGTTTACAAGGGCACCTGTGTCATACGGTGACCTTACATGATATTACATAGAACACGAGTTTAAGCAGAAATTTGTGAAGCAGAATGGAATTTACTCCCTAGAAGCTGAAATTGTATTTTGGAGTTGCTATTTAACATTTATGAGTTCATGACCCTATTTCACATTTATTCAGATTCTCTTTGGCTCGTAGTCATTTAACTTCAGATTTCAGAGTTTCTAAAACTTTAGGTTGGCAGATAAAATCGCATGGAATGTGAATATATTTTCCGAGAAAAAAACCTTATATGTATAAATTAGAGAAAAATTAAATTCCTGCATTATTTCCATTGCTTCGTAATTTCGCAAATTGAATCTGATGTGTTGCGCGCGGTGTATTTGTATGTTATATACGAATAAATCGTTTTTTAAAAAAATGATATCATATGCCAACCGAAATAAAAGTCGTGGAAAATATCTCAAACAATATCTTTGGATGTTAACTTGCCTCATTCTAATTGAGTTTAGCATAAAACAAGTAACCGTTGGTCTAAACCGACTACAACTTGTAATTTGAACTGTTTTGTTTATGTATGATAAATGGGGTGATTAGTGAAAATTCCATTTATAGGAGATATTTTAAGGGATACAAAAGATGTTTGTTATTCTTAACCAAATAATAAATCATGTATGTAATGGTAACATGATCATGTTTTTTTACCCTCAGGTTTTATGTAATGAAGTTTTAAAAACACTAAGTTAGAGTTAAATCACTAATCTATCATCTTGTTAAACTTAATAATTTATTATATGCTCACACTATATGTATTATTTATGATTATGAGATTTGGGATCCAAATTCGTACATACCCATGTCTAGGACAGTAGGACCAGAATGTAGTATGATCCATTTTTCCAAAAATCTTTGTATTTTAAAATCTTTGCGTTTTGTTATTGGTGTTTTTCCAATCGAACTAGCGATAGTTGATAAATTATTATAATTACAATATTATTGTGAGTGGATTAGAGATCCTTTAACGATTACGTACATCTTATAAATTCATCAAATGAAAATGGGTAAAAAGGGGTGTTCATTCATTATTTTAGTAATCACCATATATATAAACTTCACGGAAAAAGACAAAAACTTAAATTAGAGTTGATGCACATGCCTAGAATCATTGCGAATAATTCCCATGTGTATCCTTGTATCTGTTTTTACTGTTTTAGCTGGCAAATGTGTTTGAAGCCTATCTCTCATTATCTTTCAATTAGTATTTGATAAACTAGCGGATCGTAGATTTTCAAACAAAAATTCACTCGTTAGTAGCTGACTTAACTAACTGAGTTATATGAGATATAAATCGACAAGTATTGTGGACCGTATTCTTTACCACTACCCCTGATACGAATTCCCAAAGAACGGCACACACTTGGTCGGTATCGGATGGATAGATCCTTGACTCCAAACGGATTTATGGAGAAGATGCTAAGGGGTGGGTTGAAACCCAAAGATCCTTAGGCCCAAACTCGCGGTGAAAGGCTTGAAACAAGGGGGTGACTAAGCTGGCTGATTGGATCCGCAGAAAAAGGATGTTAAGGCGTGAGAACTAAGTTCCCGAAAATCCCTAAGCCCCTTTAACTACTTGAACGTCCCAACGAGACAACTGGGTGAAGGCTGCGTCAAGTTCTATGGATTGAACATGATAAACCGAAAAGGATTCAAGAGGCTAACCACCTAAGGAATCAAAAAAGTTCTAAAAGAACAAAGGAGAAATCTCAATTTTATTTGATAAGTGAATGTCGAAAATGAGAAGGGGTACAAGCCTTTATATAGCAGGCGAAGTAGCTCAAGAGACAAACTCGAAAATGACAAAAAAATTAATAAAGTCTTGACCAAAATAAATGAACTAAGGACTGACTCTTCGGCTGGCCTTTGACTGACTCTTGAGTTGCCAAACCGAAAATGACTCTTGCTCTGCCGACCCATGAACCAGACCGTAAACCAACCTTGGTCGAGAGATGGGCGATGGACTTAACCTCGTTAAAACCCCACCTGGTAAACCCATTGGGACAAACCCGGGTGTAAGGAAAAAGAGTATTAAGCCATCACCCAGACCAGATTAGTTACAGCCGGCGTTCATGAGCACGGTCACGATCTTGGGTGATGCTGGGTCGCCTGGTCCGATCTTAATTCCATTAAGTACAGCCTGAACCGTTCCTGCCAGCTTCTTAGCTCTGGATCGCGTCATAGGTCCATCCGGTACGGCCAAATGTGCTTTCGGAACCTCGATTCCATTGCTTGAATCGTCCTCTGGGTCCATGATCGTATCATCCTCCCCCTCTTGAAAAGGACTTGTCCTCAAGTCTGGTCCATCTGCAACAAAGGGAATGAGGTCAGAAATGTTGAAGCTGGTACTGACTAAGTACTTACCTCGTAAGTCAATCTTGTAGGCATTGTCATTGATCCGCTCAAGGACCGTAAAGGGACCATCCACACGAGGCAATAACTTGGACTTTCTTTCCTCCGGAAACCTGTCCTTCCTCAAATAGATCCATACTAGATCGCCTGGTTCAAACATCTTTTGGCGCCAGCCCTTGTTAGCGTGCTTCTTGTAAAGCTCGGTCTTTCTTTCAATATTCTGCTTGGCCTTCTCATGAATCTGCTTGACAAGCTCGGCATTTTTCTTCCCATCCATACTTACACGCTCAGACAAAGGTAAAGGCGTAAGATCAAGGGGAGTAAGAGGGTTAAAACCATAAACCATTTGAAACGGGGAAAACAATGTAGTAGAATGAACTGCATGGTTATAAGCAAACTCTACATGTGGTAGACAATCTTCCCACGTCCTAAGGTTCTTTTTAATAACAGAACGAAGTAGTGCAGACAAGGTTCTATTAACGACCTCGGTTTGACCGTCGGTCTGTGGGTGGCAAGTGGTGGAAAAGCATAACTTAGTACCTAGTTTTGACCAAAGTGTTTTCCAAAAATAACTAAGGAATTTAACATCGCGGTCAGAAACTATAGTCCTAGGCATTCCGTGCAACCTAACCACTTCTCTAAAGAACAAATCAGCCACATTAGACGCATCATCAGTCTTATGACAAGGTATAAAGTGCGCCATTTTTGAGAACATATCAACCACAACAAAGACAGAATCCCGACCCGTCCTAGTTCTTGGTAATCCTAACACTAAATCCATAGAAATGTCCGTCCAAGGGGAGCTAGGAATGGGTAAAGGAGTGTACATACCTGGGGACTGGCTTTTGGATTTCGCATACTTACAGGTGATGCATCGGCCGCAAATTCTTTCCACATCTCTTTTCATGTGCGGCCAGAAGAAATGATCCTGGACCACACTAAGAGTCTTGGCCATTCCAAAGTGTCCCATCAAACCGCCGCCATGAGCTTCCCTAACAAGCAGATCACGAAGGGAAACATTAGGTATACAAAGGCGGTTTTCATAAAACAAGAAGTCATCACTCCGAAAATATTTTCCAGTGGCAAATTTAGAACAGGATTGATAAACTTCCTGGAAATCTGGATCGGAGGTGTAGGCTTCTTTGATCAGTTCAAAACCGAGGACCTTGGCGTCTAAGGTCGAGATTAGGGTGTATCTGCGGGACAGGGCGTCGGCCACAACATTTTCCTTTCCCTGTTTGTACTGGATCACGTACGGAAACGTTTCAATAAACTCCACCCATCTGGCATGCCGCTTATTCAGTTTCTGCTGGCCCTTGAGGTGTTTAAGAGATTGATGATCCGTATGAATCACAAACTCTTTTGGCCAGAGGTAGTGTTGCCAGGTTTGGAGCGCAAAGACCAAGGCATAAAGCTCCTTGTCGTAGGTGGGATAGTTCAAGGTCGTGCCACCAAGCTTCTCACTGAAGTAGGCGATAGGTCGTTTCTCCTGCATTAGGACCGCACCAATACCTACACCAGAGGCATCACACTCAATTTCAAAGGTTTTCATAAAATCAGGCAAAGAAAGGAGTGGTGCATGAGTTAGCTTGTTTTTAAGGAGTTGGAACACCTCTTCTTGTGCCGTGCCCCATTTAAAACCAACGTCCTTTTTGATTACTTCGGTGAGAGGCGCTGCTATAGTACTGAAGTCCTTTACAAACCGTCGGTAGAAACCGGCCAGGCCATGAAAGCTTCGGACTTCTCCAACCGTCTTGGGACTGGGCCAGTCTTTGATCGCCTTGATCTTCTCTTCGTCGACCTGGATCCCATTGGCACCTACAACAAAGCCTAGGAACACAACACTATCCGCGCAAAAAGTACACTTTTTCAAGTTCCCAAACAATTGCTCCTTCCTAAGCACTTCTAAGACTAACCGCAAATGCTCTAAGTGCTCGGCCAAGTTCTTGCTATAGACTAAGATATCATCAAAGTACACAACGAAAAAAACGCCTATGAACGACCGCAAGACATGGTTCATAAGTCTCATGAAAGTGCTAGGGGCGTTGGTTAAGCCAAACGGCATTACCAACCATTCATAAAGCCCATGCTTGGTCTTAAAGGCTGTTTTCCATTCGTCCCCCTCTTTCATACTTATTTGGTGATAGCCACTTTTCAAATCTATCTTAGAAAAAAGACAAGATCTGTGAAGTTCATCAAGCATATCATCCAAACGAGGAA